CAAATAAATATAAAAATGTGTGGCCAAAATAAATAATATTTTGAAACAATAAATACATTTATTATCATAAAACAACAAAAAGGGGTACTCTTATGTTGAAGATGATGACTATAATAATGGTGAATGAGACTCATCTCCTAATAAGGGGTACTCTTTCATTGTTAGGCGAAACAAGGTTTTAACGAGGCCCCTGTTATCAATGAAATAATATTTTTGGGCAAAAAAACTGTTGTTATGTTTTTATGAGTAATGTATGTTGTAAGGTTATTAGGAAATAATTAATGAAATTATTGTTTATTCGTGGTTTTATTATATGTATAATAATCTAAGTCGATTTTCATTCATGTTTCAATATTTTTTTGATATTTATCATAATTTCTAAATTATATACTTAATAAAATTAATCATTATTCATAATCAATATTTTTGTAATAAAATAGACTAAATTTACAATTAACATTAAAATTATAATTTTGTAATATATTTGGTGAAATGTCATGGGAGACCAAACCAAATCCTATTCTCTATAAATGGTAAAATGGTGAAATATTAATATTTTATTATTTGGTGTAAAATTTGATGGAATTGGTGGGAGACCAAATACACTATTTTGTAACTAAAAATAGAGAAATAATAGAATAGTGTGCTGCGGGTGGGAGATAACACCATTTTTTCACCACCAAAAATAGGATTTGGTGAAAAAATGGTGTTAAGGGTGGGAGATGCTCTTACACCAAAAGAAATCCATTAATTCCTTTTGAGGGGTAATAAAGTAATTACAAACATAATGGGTCTAGGGGTGAAGAACCTAGGGCTTGGGGACATTCCCCTTCAAATTCAAATTCATAAAATCATATCATAAATTGCATTTGATCAATCTTTGAAAATAAATAATTTTTGATTGTCAACCAGCCCCACTTGATTTTGCCCATTCACTGAATCCACCCCTCCTTTTCATCTCTTTCTCTCTCACACACAACACACACAATTTGGGAGTTTCTTGAATCAAGTAATCTATGCATGTATACATACATACATATATTTCTTTTGTATCTATATCTAACTATTAATTAAGGCAGCAAACACCCATAATCCATCCAAATCTCTTTCGTCCCACCTTCAAATAGCAATTCTTGATTTCTTTCTCTCTCTCACCGAATCATCTGGTTTTTCTTTCTCACAGAAAACCCACACCATTTTAAAGACTCCATTTTTAACCTCAATTTTGCACAAAACTTATAATAGGTATGTACACATTTCCTCAAAGATTATATTTTTACACCTCGAATTCTTACATGGGTTGTCTTTATTTTTTATTTTAATATTTATTTTCTCTTTAATTGTGTTATATATTGAATATTGAACTGTTGAAAATCTGATTGCCCTGCTCCCATGTATTATTGTATACTATGTTTGCTAATTTGATACTGGGGTTTCTAAATTTCTTCTGATTTTCAATTGCAGGGGTTGAATTTTGTTCACATTTGATTCCATAACTCTAGAAAGATCCATTTCTGAAGTGGGATTTCTCAGAAATTTTGTCCTGCTGGCAAAAAAATCGAATCTTTATCCTAATTCAAGATTTAGTACAACAGAGTTTGCAAACTTGGAAGTCCCTTTTTTTTTAAATGAATTTGGAGCATCATCACAAATCGAAATCAGCAATGTCGAAAGATTCGATGAATCTCCAAGATCAGTACTATTTGAACAGCATTATGGATGTAAGAAGATCAAAGAATAATAATAATCCTAGTATCTCCTATGTTGAAGTAAAGAAAATCGATAACTATAATCAAAAGCGGTCTTCTTTCACGAAAGGGAACCATAGCAAGAAAATGTTTCGGTGCTTCACGTTGGAGTCGATGCTTCTGCTGATTGGGCTAACGGCGTCGTTGCTGATATTGCCGCTGGTGGTGCCGCCACTGCCGCCTCCTCCGTTTTTGCTGCTTTTGCTGCCTATTTTCATTATGGGGCTTTTAGTGATGCTGGCTTTTATGCCATCTGGTGTTAGGGAGGCCACTCATACTTATGTGTAAATGGTAACATCACCACTCCCATTTTCTTTTATTTTGTTTTTGGTTGAGAAGTAAATGTAGCTGCATGGTTCTTTGATTTCTTATAAATATTATTCACCCTTATTATTAACTTACATATTAATTCTCTTTGGTTTGGAGTCATTTGATCCTGCACTCGCACTCTACAATTTGTGTTTCTTTTGTATGGCAAATCATTGGGTAATAGCCGTCTCATTCGGTTAAATGGATCGGATGAATATGAATTAGATTGAATTTCCGCATTTTCGGTTGCGAATTAAGATGTTCGGTTTAATTAATTATATTAGATCTAATATTAAAACGTCCGTAATTTAAGAATCAAATCGTATTTCGTCGATGAAACTTAATAATCAAGAACCGAATAAGACTCGAGTATAAGATGATTTGGAATAATCTTACAACGACAAAGGTGACCAATATACATACATTGATATATGCCTCTAATACATAGCCAACTACATACTTGTACACAGTTTCTCTTACAAATAATAAGGTTGTTTAAGAGGCATCCTTTCCAAGTATGTTTTCAGCATCAACCAAGAACCAACATCGAAACGACCACAAGTACTCTACCTAACTACCGAAAAAACGACTCAATACTTTGTTTATTATCTATACCATGACATGCAAATGGCGAAAAGAAAGAAAGAAAAAAATAAAAAAAGGAGACTTCACTCTCAAAATCTGTACTAATAATCCACACCAGCGCGATCGAGCAAAAACGGAGGAAGATGCTGCTCCAATACCGCCAACAACTCCCTCCTCTGCCCCGGTTCGTCCAGCACCACACCCCCAAGCCTTCTAGAAGCTTCCACAAGCAGCCCTCTATGCCTCTGCGACAACAATTTACCCCCCGGCCCCACGCACTCCCTATACAGCGGCAAATAAGCAACCGCCACCTGTAACGGGCCCGGAAGATCCCTCAAGCAACTCTCCAATCCGCCCCTTTTCAAAATCCTCACCACATTCAAGAAATGCAATTCCCCTAATCTCAACCCATCCAAGTAAGCCTCCTCCGACCAATGCTCGCGTAAAAAAGCCCTCAGCTCGGGGGTCGCCGCTCCCTCCTCGCCGGACGACCGCGCGATGACGTCAGCAACCGCGTAGGTTGCGACGGGGTCCGCCAGAAAGTCGGCACGTAGGAGGAAGGCGACCCCGTCGAGGGACCCGCCACTCCGTTCGCCGGCAGCTTTTAGGATCTCGGGGGCAAGGGCGGTGATGACGTGGTGGGGGACTTGGGGGAGGAGGTGGGCGGCGATTGAGAGCTGGCTGGTGGATGTGGCGGCTGTGAGGGCTAGGCAGAGCTCCATCTCTCTGCAGCCCTTTTGGATGAACCATTGAACCACCGTCATTGAGCCTCGTTCGGCGGCTCTCATCAGTGGACCGAGGAAAGCGGTGGCGTTGCCCTCTTCGACTAGGCATTCCATCGTGGCGATTTTGCCGTAGTGAGAGGCAAATCCTAATGCCAAGTCAGCATCCACATCCAAGCTGTTGCGTTGAGCAATCTAAAACAACCACAAATTGAGAAACGAACTTATTAATCCAAGGAATAGAATGATTAAATTACGTGGATATTCAAGAAAAATAAAATGGGACAAAACCAAAATTTGAAGGGGTTTTGAAATTTAATAAGAGGGGAAGAGAGTCCATTATCATGCATATAATTTTGCTTAGAAAAACTGCAAAACTGTTGGTACTTTCAAGGTTGTTAAACGGCAAATTGAATTGAAAATCACAAGAGTTCTATATTTTATTCAAAATTACTAAAAATATAAATATATTTGCGTATTTAATGGTACAATAACATTTATATTCTTAATTAGATGATGAGAAATACTTCTGACACCTTTACAAGGGAAAAATGAGGTGCAACACCACTTACTTTGAAGTACTTCAAGTAAAATTTTCTATTCCAGTTATAATTTTTATTTTTATTTATTTTATTTCATTCTGATAAGTCTTTTCAGTTATTTCATTTCATTTAAAAAATTACGCCACAATTATTTGTCAGATAAAAAATAAGACAAATTTTTTAATCGTTAAAAAATGATTAAGTCCTATAAAAACATTAGAAAATTTTCAAATGCAAAACGAATAGATAAACTCAAAGGTATAGGGAGAAAGAAATTAACGAAGAGTCATTAATAACTACACACACACACAAATAAAAAAAAATAACCATCGATCAATCACAAGGCGCCGAAAATAAAATAGTACCTGCAATAAAATGCGAACAAGTTCTGTGCTCCCAAAACGTGAAGCCTCAAGAAAACACTGGTTAACATTATCCGCACCACCATCAACAAGAATATCCAACAAACCTTGTACTGCAGTTGCAGATGCACCCGAGGCCCAACTATGGTCAAACGTACTTGAGAATAATGTAAGTGGGAAACAAGCAGCATCAAATGCTTCGGAGAAATCCCTTCCAGAAAGACGATTGCCAGCTAGATCGAGGAAGTTCTTGAAAGCCGATAACTGTAGTTGTATCTCAACAGCAGAGCTTTGAAATACTCTGTCCGTATTTCCTTGGGATCGAGAATGGAAACTTATGCATTTAAGTGCCCATTCGGTGAATTTCTGGACTTTTGCACTGGCTTCTGCTTTTAAAACTTCGTCTCCATTGCATTCTTGGAGCCTTTCACTCAACCTGTTAGGATGTGAAGGTATAAAAACTGAATCTTGACTTGTTGGGCTTTTTTGAATAATGATATAAACAACTAAGAACTTTGTGCACACACCATTGTAACCGGTTCTTAATTTATAGGTTGATAATGAAAGAGATCGAGTGCATACATGTGTGTGCTACTGCTTGTACATGCATGTGTAAAAGGTGCAAGCTTGTGATGAAATACTCGAGTTCATTTAGTTACAACTTACAAAAGAAAGTTCAAAATTATTTAAATTTAGTTTTACTTTACAGAATCTATATACATCTCTTGATGTTAAGATCTGCAAATTGCAATACCATCGTCAGCCTCCATTACGTATTTACATAGTTAAAGGATTATCTCATAACAAAAGGTAAAGTTCCAATCTTCTCTTCACAATGAAAAACCAATAACTTATCGATAATACAGAATGAATTCATTGGCAAAGACTAGCGTTCGATTTGGAAATTGAAGGCTAAAAGCAGAGGAAAGAAGATCAGTCATATCGAAGATCGGTAAAACACACGAGCTCTAACACTCAGTTAATAAATTAGTTAGATAAGAATAAAACCCAAATGACTATGTAAATTTGAGTGACAGACACAAAAAAGTCATCTTATGTAATAGAATCATAATTTCATATTCAAATATAGAGATAGAAATTTGAACAAAAAGAATGTCTTATACCTTTGTGACATCACTGTGACAGTTTCTGCAAGGCTCATTGTCCGACTCTGACAAGCAGAAACACACGAAGCAAGAAAAGAAGTCCTAAGTGCAGCTCGAGTGAAATCGTACGCCCCACTATCAATTATCCTCTTAATCATTCCATTAACCCCATACAACTCTTCCTGTTTGCTCAAGAACCATATCGAATCCAAAGAAATGCACAGTGCATCGTTTAGAGTCTGAGGGTCCGCTAAGACGACCAGACTGTCAGCAAGTTCCCAATCGTGCGAACTCACAGCCCCTTGAAACAACCGCCCTAACTCAATCCTATCTTGTCGGCACAATTTCCTCTCGGTTTTCCCTTTATCAGAAGCAGAAGCAGAAGCGGCTAATTTGGATTTAAGTTTCTCGACGCTGCAATTACAAGGACTTGCGTTTAAATCTTCCTTAATAACGAGAGGGGCTTCTCTCGAGAAAATCACATTGCTATGACATCCTTCGACATTCTTGTCGGAACTAAAAGGTTCAGCCTCAGATGTTCCCATTTCCATCATTTCAATTTCGGAACACTGAGGCACTTCCATATCAATATCTAGGGCACTTTTTTCCATCACACATATATCTCATATTTAGCCTCAGATTGTACCCAACAAATCGTGAAATTCTTAATTTTCAATCCAAATTGAATTGTGTAAATAAATTGATTAAATAGAAGAATTCATGTGTGGGCAAAATAACTCCGCCGTCATCACGGCCATCGGAAAACCCCCACCACCGCCCAAACCCCTTGACCTAAAAACCTCGTCGAAAAAGTTTGCAGAAATCGATCCACCTGAAAATTCATAAAAACATGTCAATTGAAAACAACAACAGCAAAATTACCTCAACTAACACCCAAAATAACCTATAAATGAATGAAATGAAATTACAGAAAGAGAAGAACCTCGAATCAACAAAAATTGCAAAGAAACCTGTTTTTTATTTTTTTTTCAGAAAGGGGAAAAATTATAGAGAGAGAAAGAGAGGGTACATGAAAATGTGGGAGTGGAGAGAGAAAGGGGTTGTGGGTGGTTGTCTCTTTGTTTCAGTGGATGGATGGCCCTCAGCTCTTTTGGATTTTCGTCATCAACCTTTTCTTCCTCTCTTTTTTTTTTTTTTTCTTCCTTCCTTCAATTTTTGCTTTTTATTTTTCTTTTTTTATTTTCTATTTATATATATAAAAAAAAAAGGGAAAAATTCTGTGTTAACAGAGGTGGTGGGTGGTGACGGAGCGATGAAAGGGAAAGTTCCCGTACCACCGCGTACCACCACAAAAGGGTTGCCTCCTTTGGTGGGTGGGCCCCCACACCTGGTTCCTTCTCCTTTTTTTTTTTTTTTATTTATAAAATTATAAATTGCATATAATATTGGGTTGATTATAGGGGAAACTACAGATAAATTCCTAATCTAAAACTTGAAACACAGATCAGTCCCTAGGTATTTTCCCCTAGCAATTCAGTCCCTACTCACACGCCTAACATGCAGATCAGTCCCTAATAAAATGTGCAAATACTAAAATACCCTTTACTTTATACTAATTTTACATAACTTCTTTTCAACTTCCAACGCGCCGTTTGTATTACACGCTCTTTGCCCGTTACATTTCAAAAATCAAACAACAAAAAAGAAGCTAAAAAGGCGCAGAAAAAACCACCGTTCAATAATACCCATTTTCAGACCAAGAAGAAACGAAGAAGAAACGAAGAAGAAACGAAGAAGAAACGCAACAGAGAAACAACAAAGAAGGAAGAAATTACGAAACACGAAGAATCAACAAACCGCAGAAAAATAGTATAAACAAACCCATTTATAAACAATGGTGAAGCAGGGTAAACAACAAGGTTTGATTTTTTATTTTTTTTTTCATTTTCTTGGAAACAGACCCATTTGGGTGTTGCTTAAGCAGGGCAAAAAGGTTTATTTGTTATAGAATTGCATGATTTTGAACATATCCACTCATGGGTATTATGCCTCGACTTTATTCGGTGTTTGCCCTAATCATTAAATCGGTTCCAATATTTGTTGTTCTGTTGTTTGGGTTTGCAAAGATCATTTATTTGTTGTCGAATTTCATGATTTTGTAATTGTTTTCTCATGGGTATTATTCTTCGGTGACATTAGCATGTCCCCAAAGCATTTTGAGTCCTAACAAGGGTTTCATATAGGATATGGGAAAGAGGCTTATTGTATTTTTCGTACTGGTTCTATAGTATGTGTCATGCGCAGTAATGGTATTAATAGTGCATTTAGATGGTATAATCTTTGATGGTTCTGTAGCATGTGTCATATGCCACAATAGTATTACCAGTGACTTTGAATGGTATTACTAGTGACTTCGGATGGTATTGACATGTGGTACTAGAAGTATAATGTTGATGGTCCTGTAGTATAAGTCATATGCCATAATAGTATTACTAGTGCCTTTGAATGGTATTACTTGTGACTTCGGATGGTATTGATTTGTGGTACTAGAAGTATAATGTTTGATGGTCCTGTAGTATAAGTCATATGCCATAATAGTATTACCAGTGCCTTTGAATGGTATTACTAGTGATTTCGGATGGTATTGACATGTGGAACTTTATAGTACGTTGTATTTGTTATAATTGTATTTGTTTTATGTGTATGTAATTGCAGGAATTGTTGTAAAAGAAGATTGCAGCAAGCTATCAATAGGCTGCAGGTGCTCACCGATCGCTTTTCACCTAACTATGGAAGGTGTGAAAAAAGTGATGAAGAAACAACATCATGAAGTATTGAAGAAAAATCCCTTCTATCACTACATGGACATGCCTAAAATAAACCACAGCTTCCATAGGGTTGTGTCTCTCATGCAAGCGTACAATCCAGAAGATCGGGCCTTCTGGTTTGGGGGAAATACTATACGCTTGGAATTCACTCCGCAGCAATTATCTATCGTATTAGGGCTGCAGTACGAAGGCGTACCGGTGGATATGAATATGGATGGCAGAGACACTGATTTCATCACACGTATTTTTGATGGTAAGTTATCTTTAATGACGAGGCCATATATTGGTTATAAACTGGAGGCCTATGCAGTTATGACCGATCAACAATCTGTTGAAGATTTCAGCAGATTGTACACTATTTATCTGTTTAATACTATTCTACTGCCAAAGGGGAACAAAACGTTAGAAAGGTGGGTTTATCCGCATGTAGAAGATTTGGAGGTTTTAGGGTCTTTTGCATGGGGAAAGTTGGTGTATGATATTCTTGTTGAGAATATGGAGGGGTATCTGAAGGGGGGGTTGAAGTATTTTGATGGATGCACTATCGGCTTATTGGTAAGTGATATCTAATAGTGAATATATATTATGTTATATTGAATATACCAATTAATATTGATTCCAAAATACGCAGGCATGGGTGCATGAAAGGATCACGTCACTAGGGGTTAGCACCAGTGTTTACAAATTTCCCCGGTTCTTCCGGTGGCAAGACAGCAAAATCCCAATCGATGAAGAAGCAGCTAGGTTGCTTTTTGATCAGATAAAACAAGTGCAGGTAACACTTTGAGTTACAAAATATATAATGTATTAGGTATTTGCTAACAAATTTTTTACGTTTATTAGGTTATACCATTTTCTGTGTACCCGAAAGAGAAAGCGTTGCTTTCTCCGGTTTTGGAAGTAATTTCTGGTCCAGTTGTTGGAATTAGTGCTGACAGATTTGTGGAAATAAGTTCTGAGAGTAGTGAAGATGAGATTGGAGACGTGGAAGCAACATCTGTAAGTCATTAATACAATAAACCCTAAAATTCATACTTCCATTCCCATTGGAACATACTATATGTCAACTAATATAATACTATGGTATAACATGTTTCGTACTATTGTTTTTTTTAGTTGCAGCAGATGAAGAATAACTTAAAAAGGAAGAGGGGGAATGTAACAGAAGAAAAAAATAAAGAAAAAAAAATGCAGAGTAAGAGAAAGAAAGAAAAGGAGATAGAGAAAGAGAAGGAGATAGAGATAGAGAAAGAGCAGGAGAAAGAGAAGGAGAAAGAGAAAGAGACAGAGACAGAAAAAGAGAGAGAGACGGAGACAGAGAAAGAGATAGAGATAGAGGCAGAGATAGAGGAAAGGGAAAAGGAAGGAGAAAATGAAGGAGGAAAGGGGATGGAAGGTGAAGGAGAACGAAGTGAAGAAAGAGAGAGAAATCAAGGAGACGAAAGTCAAAGTCAAAGACCAAAGTCAAAGGCCAAAGTTCCACGCGTGCGAGGACGAGGACGAGGACGTGGTTGTAAACAAGTTCCTGTGTCCAAGGTTTCGGTTTCAGTCCCTGGGATCAAGGTATTTTTATCAAATATTAGTATTACATTATTATTATTTTTTGTCATAATTGGTGTGATTTATTCGTTATATAGAATGCCGATTATTACCGGGGAAGAAAGGACTACGTACGTCGTGACCAAATATCCGAAGAAGATAGGATATTGTTGGATCAGTTCTTGGAAAGTGTTGATTTAGGGTAAGAGCACAACCACCTTGATAGTACATGTTAATGTCTTTAATGGTATATGTCAAGTGAATGCATAGTACATGTTGACTGCATGTTATAGTATGTAGTAACTTTGTACATAGTATAAGTTTACTTATACAATGGTACATGTTGACTGCATGTTATAGTATGTAGTAACTTTGTACATAGTATAAGTTTACTTATCCAATAGTACATGTTTACTGCATGTTATAGTATGTAGTAACTTTGTACATAGTACAAGTTTACTTATCCAATAGTACGTGGTTATGTCTTACTGTAGTGAAACTATTGTGGAGAGAGGCCCACATCAGTTGACGGGAAGGCATATGTGCGAACTTTTATTTGATGAAATGCTGAGTGCAGAACACATAGATTTGTACTTGAATCTATTATGTTCCGAATCTATCATGAACCAACATGGACATGAGATTGATTACCTTGACTCCCCTGCCCAGGTATATAGTGGTTTAACAAATAATTATGCATACATTACAATGTTTATCTAATATTCTCTATTATGTTTCGTAGCAAGAGTTAATGTCGCGACCTCGGGTGGACGTAGAACGAATGAGCGATGCCATGTTTGATCGTCTTCTCAATGATTTTACTATTTTTGGAACGATGGCTTTTGACAAGCTAAACACAGCAAATATCTTCAGTAAAACATTTGTCATGATACCTATCAATTCCAGTGAACACTGGTTCCTGCTTGTTCTGAACCCAATAGATAAATGTATTTACCATTGGAACTCCATAGACTATTCTCCGAATTTCCCAGGAATTGCGGATTATGTCGTAAGCCCATATTCTTGTAATTAGTTATTCTTTATTCTTGCGAATTGTTGTAGACTAATATAATATTTTATTTTCGTAGGCCTCGTTTTACAGCAAGGTGGTTGAAAGAAGGTCTGGGTTGGAGATACAATCGGAAGCTAAATGGGTTCATGGATGCAGGCAGCAGGATGGGAACCTTGATTGCGGCTTGTTTGTCTGCATGTGGGCATATTGTCATGCTATAAACAGTGAAGATATTTGGTTTAAGGCAAAAACTTGCGATATCAAAATACTTCGCCCAAAACTAGCAGCTATCTTTCTGAGGCATCGGGGAGTAGAAGTGGAAGCTAAATATGAAATAGATCTGGCGTTATTGTGAAAAAACTGGAAGTGTTTTGGGGTTCTTGTCTTTTTTGTAATTAATTAATGAACAGGTGAATGTGTTTTTATGCCATAAACAATCTGTCCTTTTGTTGTAGAGCTAATAATACTATTGATTAGCTCTACTCGTACTTGTTCATTGTATACATTGTACTATATGTTTCGATGAAATGTACTTGCCTTTTGAACACATGGTACTTTATTTTGCGATTAATTAGTTTGTATAAAGAATATAAGCGTACCATAAAAATGAGCAACAAATACTGTCTAGTCCATTCGAAGATACCTTGTCAACAATAGACTTGTACTTATTTGATGAACAAAGCGTACTTCACATGTGTATTCACAAAAAACTTACCATAATCGATGTTGATTGACTCCCACATTGTCTCCATTATTGTTTTAGATGATTATTTTAAGGTAGGTGAGCATATGTTGCGTTTGGAATACAAGATCCCATAAATATGTTGAATTTCATACATGATACACATATACTATACAATATAGTCATACATTGTCTCCATTCATTCTTAATAGTCTTAAACTGAAGAGTTGTGTCTTAAAATGCGATCATATGGATGCATTGGCCCGACAATAATATATAGAGTGTAAAAATACTATATGAATGGCAAACATATACTTTATCAGTGAACAAATCGTACTATAGTGTCGACTCACTTGTACTTTAACGGCTTAAACATTATACTTAATTGGTGAACAAAGCGTACTATATTTTTTGATGAATTGAATTGTACCAATTTCATCGACGTTTTAATGATCAATAAGTACGGGAGATGCATAAATTATGTTTTAGATGATTATTTTAAGGTAGGTGAGCATTATTGTTGCGTTTGGAATACAAGATCCCATAAATATGTTGAATTTCATACATGAAACTCATATACTATACAATATATTCATACAAGTCTACAATGCTCAAGTGTAAAACTAATACTTTCCTCAATTCTTACCATAGTCGATGTTGATCTACTCCCACATTGTCTCCATTCATTCTTAATAGTCTAAAACTGAAGAGTTGTGTCTTAAAATGCGATCATATGGATGCATTGGCCCGACAATAATATATAGAGTGTAAAAATACTATATGAATGGCAAACATATACTTTATCAGTGAACAAATCGTACTATAGTCACGACTCACTTGTACTTTACCAGCTTATACATTATACTTAATTGGTTAACAAAGCGTACTATATTTTTTGGTGAATTGAATTGTACCAATTTCATCGACGTTTTAATGATCAATAAGTACGGGAGATGCATAAATTATGTTTTAGATGATTATTTTAAGGTAGGTGAGCATTATTGTTGCGTTTGGAATACAAGATCCCATAAATATGTTGAATTTCATACATGATACTCATATACTATACAATATATTCATACAAGTCTACAATGCTCAAGTGTAAAACTAATACTTTCCTCAATTCTTACCATAGTCGATGTTGATCTACTCCCACATTGTCTCCATTCATTCTTAATAGTCTAAAACTGAAGAGTTGTGTCTTAAAATGCGATCATATGGATGCATTGGCCCGACAATAATATATAGAGTGTAAAAATACTATATGAATGGCAAACATATACTTTATCAGTGAACAAATCGTACTATAGTGTCGACTCACTTGTACTTTACCAACTTATACATTATACTTAATTGGTTAACAAAGCGTACTATATTTTTTGGTGAATTGAATTGTACCAATTTCATCGACGTTTTAATGATCAATAAGTACGGGAGATGCATAAATTATGTTTTAGATGATTATTTTAAGGTAGGTGAGCATTATTGTTGCGTTTGAATACAAGATCCCATAAATATGTTGAATTTCATACATGATACTCATATACTATACAATATATTCATACAAGTCTACAATGCTCAAGTGTAAAACTAATACTTTCCTCAATTATTACCATAGTCGATGTTGATCTACTCCCACATTGTCTCCATTCATTCTTAATAGTCTAAAACTGAAGAGTTGTGTCTTAAAATGCGATCATATGGACGCATTGGCCCGACAATAATATCTAGAGTGTAAAAATACTATATGAATGACAAACATATACTTTATCAGTGAACACATGGTACTATAGTGATGACTCACTTGTACTTTACCAGCTTATACATTATACTTAATTGGTAGACAAAGCGTACTATAAATGCTGAAGAACCCAAACTTTACCAGCTTATACATTGTACTCTTATGTTCACTAATTAAACAACAGTACATAGGTTTTACATAGCATGTAGACTGCAAATATTACTAGATTCAACACTATCAAACTATGAACTACTCCACCTTCAGAATTGCAATTCTTCACTTCACTTTCTTGATGGACTTGGTTCATCGACGCACTTGTAGCTTCATTTTCTTCACGATTTGAGTTGGAAAAAGTTTGCCCAACTTCAAATGGTTCACACCAATGGGAGTAGCCATGGTGTGGGCAACAGTAAAATAACCTTCCGGGATTCGAAATAGTTTCTGAAACCATGATTATTGTTTTCTTCCCACAATCAAGACGCTTGCATTTCCCTTTTTTGTATTTTAACCCACTCATTTCCCTTTGAGTGGTGCTACTAGAAGAAGCCATGAATTAGAAACAAATGAGCCTATGTGTCATTTATGGTCATATTATGACTTGACTAGTTCTGACAATAAGCAACGGCTATATTATAAGCAACGGCTATATTGTAACGGTCATAAATTGAGTAAGTAAAAATAGTACCATTAGACTGAAAATGATAAACCATCAATGAACAGAGTACCTAATACATAGTACAAACTACAAATAGCAAAAACATAGTGCAAATTGAAACATAGTACAAAGTTCAAAACAACATAGTGCAAATCACATAATAATAAAGTACAAACAGCCAGTTTTCATTCACTTCAATCACTTGAATAACATAATGGGCAATCATGTAAGCTCTCCTCCATCTTGTCCTCCTTGATGAAAAACATAAAATTTACATTAGAAACAAGACTAGTTAGTTTAATTAACACAAATGCAGACAGTATTTACATTAAAAAAAATTGCTAGTCAGATTGGTTGTGTGCAAGTACGACGATTGTGTCCAGGCTTCCCACACCGAGTACAATTCAGTTTACGAGTTTGCACTTGTGAAGGAATTCTTTTTGTCTTTCTACGTCCCGGTCGAGTTCTCGAATCAGGTGCATTAACAAAGACATCGGGCGGAGCATTACACGCATCGTACAAGTCAAAGTCCTCATCAAACGAGGGAATTGGGTTAATCGTGAATTGATATACCTGTTTGTACGTATCAATATGAAAGCATGGATCCACAAACTCATATACTGAGTATCCTTTTGACTCCAAACATGCACATGCATGTTTGCATGGAAGTTTCTCTAATTGCCATGCTTTACAAGAACAAGTCTTCTGCTGCAAGTCAACCTTATACGACTTGTCCTCATCATATACCTCAAAAGCGGTACTACTTGATCTACAATATTTTAAGGAACGAGAGGCCATATGATTGATTGTTAATCTCTTTAGAATTTTCTTGCACAATATGCCAGTCATTGCCAAACTTTTTCCTTGTCGTTTAACTAGCATCTCCATTATTTTGATCCGTATGTGATCAATCATGGATGGAACAGGCAAAGATCGGGCATCTTTAACCCAACCATTCCAATTTTCTGCCTGATTATTGTTCACGATTCCCCATCTTTCTCCAGAAAAATAGGCATTCGCCCAATGATTTGGATCAGAATTCGAAATAAATGATGCCGCGAGAGGCATAGATTGCACGATACGAGAAATAGTTGCATCGAACTCCTGCCGAGTAGGAGCATATGCAGCATTATGTAAAACACTCGCCCAATATGACTTGTTGTGCAATGGGTACTTCCTCAGGACCTATATTATTTTGAAACATGTTATACAAATGTATGAAACATGCTATACAAATGTATGAAACATGCTATACAAATGTATGAAATGTGTTATACAAAAGTATGACACATGTTACACAAATGTATGAAACATGTTATACAAAAGTATGAAACATGTTATACAAAAGTATGGCATGAGGTGACAAATGGTACGTTCCAATTTGCATATTAAAGAGAATCAAAATACCTGAGTTCTAAAGTTATCCACCAAGTGTCGCAAACAATATGCATGGTGGCTACTAGGAAATACCATCGGGACGGCTTTAAGAAGCCCCGAATGACGATCAGAGAAAATGGTAAAAGATCTATTGTCATTGTGAAGATCTAGAATTTGTTTCAATTTAATGCAAAACCACTCCCAGTTTTTATCATTCTCAGCATCAACAACTGCGTATGCCAATGTATACAAGGAATCATTTGGATCCTTGCACACAGCAGAAAACAAGCATCCTTTGTACTTATTTTTAATGTGAGTCCCATCCAAACATATCATCGGCCTACACCGATGAAAGCCGGAGATAGAACTCCCAAAACTAATAAATATTCGAATAAACTTTTGAGTAGCAGGTTCAATCTCATACTCTGCCATGCTACCAGGGTTATGCATTTTTAATGCACGACAATAGCGTCTCAGTTTATCATAACATGTCGTCTCATCACCATGGATATCGCGCATTGCTTTTTCTTTACCCCTCCATGCTGTGTAGTACTGAAGCTCCAGACCATAATCGTCTCGGATATCTTCTAACATACCACATGGTGTGTAAGCTGGCTGCGTTCTCAATTTTCGTTTCATAATTTGGGCAATCCATGTAGCATCGGCTTTAGGATGACCCCTTGTACGAAGAGTAGCATCACCACAAGTGTGCTCAAGATTGCACTTGCGAATGCTAAATAACTTATCTGACTTGTACAATGATGCATAAACCCTCCATTTGCAGTTTTCGTGAATGCATACTGCTATGATCTTTTGTTGATCATTTTTCATGTACTTAAATGATCGATTATTAGCAATAGAATAGTTTTTCAGCATATGCCTAAAATCATCAGGATCTTTAAAAAACTGATTCTCCCCACGGATGCAATGTCTCCATGCATCAATTGAATTTCCAAGCGGATTACCCTCGATTTCCATCGATTGATCGCCGCTTTTGGTTTCAAAAAAATTTTAAAAATGGATTACAATAGAGTGGAATCCAAATAACAATGTACATGAAAATATCATAACAATGCACTGGTTCCATACTATCTTATCCATTATATAATACTAAGTTTTCCCACAAATAGTACCAAGTTTACCTATCACCCATACTATTCAGATGAAGGTTACGTACTATCTTCCCCATTATATGATACTATGTTTTCCCATTAACAGTACCAAATTTACCTATCACCCATACTATTCAGATGAAGGTAACGTACTATCTTCCTCATTATATGATACTATGTTTTCCCACCAGCAGTACCAAATTTACCTATCACCCATACTACTCAGATCAAGGTTACGTACTGTAAGTATCATACGTCCATACCATATTTATATTAGCATGATACTATTATGTGCCATATTTTATACTATGTATCACACAATAATTAACAACCATAAAGAAATGCATTTCAGCAGTACAGAAAAAGATGGAGACCTACCAGCCATCGGTGCGAACCCTCTTTCCACGCGAATTAGCTTCATCTTTGCAGGTCACGACAATGTCGACCACACTCATCTTCATTATCAGATGCAATGCAACCATATTCTCCACATCTTCATCAGTGCCCAATGTCACATACAATCTTTCCCGAGGAGCCAAGTATTGGAGGATCAGTGCATCTGGATGGATATGATTCCATTTGTTGATAATAGCACCATATATCTCCATTAATGTCGAATTACTTTTTATGGAAATAATGTGAAGTTGATTTTTGTATCGACAACTTCCAAGAATCACACTGGGTACATCGTTAGATACATCATTTGTAGCCATTGTGGGGTGGGTGGGTTTTACAGTGATTTTTTCGCCGGAAAAAAGGGGAAACCAGATGAGAGAAATGGAGAAGAAATAGAGAAGAAAGAAAGCAGATAGAAATGAAGAGAGAGAAGAAAGAAAGAGAAGATGAAGAGAGAGAAAAGCAGGAGAGAGAAAAGGGTGAGAGTGAGAAGAAAATATAATAAAATATATAAAATTCACATTAGGTACTGATCTGCATGTTAGGCGTGTGAGTAGGGACTGAAATGCTAGGGCAAACTACCTAGGGACTGATCTGTGTTTCAAGTTTTGGATTAGGGATTTATCTGTAGTTTCCCCTTGATTATAACTATTATTAATAATAAAATCCCACTTATGTCATATTATATATATGACCTCCCAATGAATAATTAAGTGGTTTATTATAATTAAGTTAGTTCATAAATAATAAATTTATTCCAAAATCGAATATTTTCGGAGCAGACCAACAAGATAAAAAAAAATCCAGCTTTTCTTAGTCTTATATAATATAAAATGTACAATAAAATTGGTATTAGAAATGCATGTTCAAAATTAACATATGATTGAAAATCAAAAATTAGTATGTATTTCAATTTTGAATTTTCGAAAATATGGGAAATTAATTAATTTTAAATATTTAAAATGAAATATATTACCCCAAAAATTTCAATTATCAATTTTCAAATCTGAATTCACAAAGCTCACAAGTTCCGTTCAAACGTCCACCATATGAATGTGTATTAAACTTTAGCATAAGATAATCCGACAACCATAGAGAGTAGATCTACGAGCAATCACACATATACATAAAAAAAATTGTCCGTCCGTTCAGGGGCGGATCCAGGGAAATTTTGGGTGGGGGGCTAAAAACCTTTTTGGGGTAAAATGATATAAAATTTAACTTTGAGAGGCTAAAATGTATAAATTTATACAAAAATAACCCAAAAAAAAAAAAAAAATTCTGCAGGGGCGGGGTCCGCACCCCGCCCCTGCGTCCGTTACAAGTGGTCTAGTATGTGAGATAATATAATAAGAAATTATCGAGTTCGGATTCTTTTTCTCAATATTGTGTATTCTTTTTTATTGAAAAAAGAGAGAATAGATTATATGTACAAATGTATGATTACTCACATAAATTTCATATATTATATATATAATAATACCCTTTTTCAAATAAAAAAGATTGAATTAGTTCAAAAAAATATATTCCAATAATTAATTAACCATCAATTATGAAGGTCAATTGACAAATATACCCTTATTTTTGTTCGGAAGGAGTCTTCTGACTTTAGCTTGTGCCGTTGACTGAGAGACAGTGATACCAAAACTGAACCGAACCATGTCCGCCGAGACGGATGCTGTACTCGTCACCCTCCATGAAACCCTAGCTTCCTGCTCCAAGGTAATCAATCGCCGGACTCATATTTCAATCATCGAAATTGTTGCAGTTTATCTTCAATTCTTATTTTGTTTTGATTGTTTGTTGCATGCAGTTGATTGAAGCGGGTGATTACAGACATTCCGATCAATCAATTGCGGAGCTTGCGGATTTCCTTGAATCAATCTCCGAATCTCTAATCGCAGCAGAATCTGAGAATGGAGATTCTGGAAATGCGGCTGTTGAAATTCTCACTCAAATCCATGAATACGTGGCCTCGCCGGCGCTCAATCAGGTACTTGGGGCATGATTCGCTTCTTTCGGATGCTGTGGGTGCGTGTTTTCTGATTTTTTTTGTATGTTTTCCAGGAAATTGTTGATGCTTTAGCGTTTGTTTTGCCCATGGCCGCGGCGAGATTTGGCTGTGCGTCTACAAGGTCTTTGGAGCTCGCTGGGAATGTGGTTGATATTTTTGTGGAGAGATGTAATCCACGTGATATGTTTTCAGTTCTATGCGAGGTAATTGTATAGTTTGTCTGGTCTACTAGTAATCGAATTGAATTTAGCTGCTTAAATGGCTTTTGTTTTGAACTGTGATTTGTGCGGATTCAGTTTTCGTCCATAGCTGTCCCGTAAAATTGTAGTCTGTATTTTGAGGTTTTTGAAGAGGCTTATTTAATTCTATCCTGGTATGGTTTAATTTTCTTCATTTACGATAAAAATATTCTTAGCTTTCAGAAGTACTTGGATTTTCTCTGTTTTGAGAATCCACTCTTTTAATATATCTCGAGAAGAGGCTCAGTTTTTCTAAGTAAATTACATTCATCTTCTCATTGATATATATATATATATATATATATATATATATATATATATATATATATAACAGCTTCCATGTGAGACCTCACTATTTGTCGTCCAGAAGTGAGAATGGCTTTAATGACTAGACTTCCGTTAGTTAATGAGCATGCTATATAGAAGGGTCACCTTACAGTACTTATTTGTCACTTCTTAAACCGAGCAGTGAAAATATGCAAATGTCTTTCTCGTATTCGCTCTAGACTGGTATTTGTCTTTAATCTTTACAATATGTCGAATAATTTTGGATATACCCATCTTTTAACTCCCAGGCAATAAGTTCTCCGAGCGATCTTTTCGTGATTCCGGGCTATTTCATACCTCTTCTTAGTGGGCTCAGGAAAGGTATACTATTTGTTTATATGTTATATGTAGGCTATTTTATTTCTCTGGCCAAGAGAGGTAATAATGTCAGGATATGATACCATCGACTGCCCTGGTATCTTTATTATGTTAGGAAAATTATATGCAGAGGAGTGAATCTAGTCCAAGTGAAGAACATAAATTCTTACTTATTTTTTTCAAAGGACGTGCAAGTTAATCTGTGAATCTAAACTTGTGTATTGTTTGTCTGTAATTATGAATTTTCATGCCCATGATATCCATTTTCATCAAAATATCAGCTCGTGACAATTTCATGTTTTGTCCCACAGTAGGTTTTCCAATCCTCTGCACATTGTTTGTCTAAAAACGTGCACTGTATCACCAGTTATGTTTCAAGGTTAATAGGAGTAGGATACAAACTACAAAGTTGAAACTGACAACCAGTTCTAGATGCTACTCATGTTAAAAGGTTTACATGCAGCAAAAGGATGGGTGCAACTCTGTTGAAGGCAAAGTACTTATTCGATCTCATACGAACGTTTTCCTAAATGAAAAAGTTGCGCTTTTAACACATTTATTTCTCATTTTCCTACAAAATATATGATTTTCCTTGAACTTGCAGATGAAAGCCTACCCATAATGAATGCCAAGCCTCAAAGATAGATTATGTTATCTTCGTGCTTGCAACAATTATATTTCCTTAGTGCTCATATTCATTGCTACCTTGCCTTGAAGTATAGAGTGTATAGGATCTTCCTTCGGTTAATGTACAGTCATTCTTTTTTTCCTGGTTTCAGTTCTCGTTTTAATTCGGACCCGGCATTATAAGCAAGTAAAGGTTGCAGTTCCGGTTATTCTTAATGTTCTAAAGGAAATGTCTTCTAAGTCGTATGATGAAGATACGGACTGGGAGAAGTTGTTCCACAATGCAACTGGAGTGGCCTACTCTATCAGAGCAATCTGTGTAAAATTGGTATGTCACATCAGCAATGCTGCTTTATTAATTTAATGATTTAGTCCTGTATTCCACCAGGCTTGAATGGATGTATTTATTTCCGATGGCAGGAAGGAGAAGACAAGAAGAAACTCCATGCTTTATTAGGCCTATATGTCTTGCAGATCATGGTGGAGAATTCATTGCAAAAGTGAAATTATAGTTCCGACTGTGAAGTGACTTATTGACGTCATATTTGTGATAGGACTTCGTACTTGATGTGCAGGCTCTAGTTTCAGTTGTAATGGCAAGTACGAGATGTCTTCCTGTGGTGCTAGAGTTGTCTGACCTCCTTCAACAATGTGAATTGTCGTATATTGGTTTGCTAACAGGATGTGAGGTTGATATGATTTCTGAACTAGTTCTTGGAGGTAAAAAGTTCTTACACTCATATATATCATGAGACATTTTTTGGGTTGTTTGGCATTTAATCGTAGTCATTTGTTACCTAAAATTACAGATGATAGTGAAGATGGTATAGATTGTTTTTCGCAAGTCAGGCTTGGAGCTGCAGTTGCAGGTTATTGATTGAAAACTTGCTATTATTAGTCAATGATGTTACCAGTTTCGCAAATATTGATGTAATCATATTTATTGTTATTTTCTGCAATAATAATCCAGTAATTTGGGGTTACAAAGCTACGGAAGTTGCTATTGCTGCCAAAGCTGATTTGACCACTGTCATAGTGGAACTTCAAGGTAACTGCACTAGAAGATGGGAAGCCTTAGCAATGTTGAAGCACATTTTCTCAGATACCAATCTTTCATTCGAATTAAAGGAGCATGGTATCAAATTCCTTCTGTGCATTATGGATGGGATTACATCACACTCATACACTGATCATGTAGACTACTCAGTGTATTTTGCAACTCTGTATACCGGTTTGCAGGTAGTTGGTTGCCATCCTCTTAAGTTCTTCCCTCCAAATTTTTCGTATTCATAGTATCTTATAATTGAATCCGCTTGTCCCTCTTAGGCTATTGAGATGGTTATCATGTATGCTTCAGATTCTATACTAAGGAAGAACGCATTTAGCGCATTCAAAAAGGTAAAGTTTTTTTTTCTTCTTCTATATGCTTTAAGTTGCGAGTATGCTTTTAGGCTATTGTTGCATGAACTATTCTTGAAGAGTCTTTAGATTTTTTAACCGAATACTTTAAATGTATACAGTCGGTTGTTTTTAAAATCAGGTGCTTGCAGACATTCCAGCTTCTGTCAGATTTGATGTCTTGAGTGCTTTGATAAAGAATAGTGACTCTTCTTCGATGGTAAGACCTTAGATACTTAGAAGCACAGATAGTTAGTTGTTAAGCGTATTGGAGTGAGAAATTTAATGAATGTGAATATTCTGTCACAGGTTGCAATACTTCTAGGTTGCTTCAAAGAAGAAATGCTCAGAGAAAAAAATGAAAGAAATTCATCAAAAGATGCTGTCCTGAACAGTGAAGTTAGTCAATCTACACCGTTTTGGAATCCATGTGTGCTTGAATTGCTGGAGGAATTTCTCAGGCCTCCAGAAGATGGACCTCCATATCTTCCCGAGTACAGCGATGCAGTAAATCTCTCTCTCTCTCTCTCTCTCTCTCTCTCTCTCTCTCTCTCTCTCTCTCTCTCTCTCTCTCTCTCTCTCTCTCTCTCTCTCTCTCTCTCTCTCACACACACACACACACACACACACTCACAAACACAAACACACACACACAATTTTCTTTGACCCGACAAGAAATATATTATTATACATCTTTCACGACATTCATTTGTCCTCTCAAGCCACTAAAATATTTGAAAGTACCAAATTTTAGTGCTTCCTTTGAAGCTATGTCTCATGCGCTTTATGTCGTTTGTTTTTTCATATTGTTGAATAAGCTTACGTGTAATTGAATAATCCATCATCTATTATTTCCTCTGCCTGCAGGTTTTATCGGCCCTTAATCTCTACAGATTTATTTTGATTACGGAGTCAACCGGTAAAGCAAGCACACACCTTTTTAAAAAAAAATTATGTCAATTATTACCCAAAATTTTATTTGGCTACTTCCGTAATATTTGTCTCCTATTTTTCCTCTCCCATTGTTTTTTACAGATAATTCTAACCGTACTGGAATATTATCGGAGGAGAAATTGCACGAGGTGTATAAAGAATGTCTTGTACCGCTACATACATTAGTGGAAGCAGAAATCGAAAACGCTAAGAATGACGAAGAAGAATCAGGTATCACATGTGCTTTGAACCCTGTTGAGTTTGTTCTCGACCGCTGCATTGAACTTGTCCAACACAAGCTCAAACCATTATAATGCTTTACCTTTTTATCCTTTGGAACCCTCCTTTGAGAGTTAAGTATCAGGCAATCAACCAGACTTCAAATTTTATGAATTATTATTTGGTTCAGCAAATGAAAAGATTAACAACAAAATTTTGATCATCTGTTTCTTTTCTGCATTAGAAATTTTGTGTGTATTATTTGGAGAAGAAAGGGCCCACCAAATATATATGTAAGGACCCAAATAGACGGCAAACGAGATGTCGAAGTGTGTTCGAACCTATAATACTGCAATATTATACAACTCTTGTAAATAAGAGCTTTTTTTCCCTTGGTAATTTAGCCTTACCCCATGTGGTATTTGTAATTTTTTTTTACCTAAAAAGTGAGTAAAAATAATATTAAAAGTGTAAAATTGTTGCAACAATTTAATGATAAAAATTACATCCATTTTTCCAAAATAAGTATAATTTAAGAATTGTGTCCGATACTTGATCTCATTTACGATCATCCGACTCAATAGTGGATTCGGTTGCCGACTGCTGACCAATTGCTGCCGGCGGAAGTGGTGAGGGAGGCTCTTTATCACTCACTTGGTTTGAGCCGCTGCCCTCGCCCCCGCCCCCACCACCACTGCTGCCACCGCCGCCAACAGTTTTCCTGTTGGGCTTGTTCTTCTTTACCTTTTGAGCCCATCCGGTGAGCTTCACTTGTATATCTTCACCAAATATTGCCCTATTGAATGAGCTTCCCATCTTCAACCAAAAACCCAAGATTTTAACAGAAATAATACAACCTATAATTAACACTCTGCATTATTTATATGTAACCTCAAAATTGAAAAGAAGCACCATTCAATTCATTACCTGTGTTACAATAGCATATAGTGGCAATGTACTATAACTGCATACAAACTGGACCAGCACCCTGTGCAACAATCATCAATATACTATAATCAAATTCTCAATGAATTGCATAATATATTAGTTTCATGTGTTGTTCGTGTATACACCGTTATGTAACGTACCCTATCACGAGACGGGGGATTATATACCCGACTTGTCCCATGATGCAAGAATTGAAACCATACATAACCTGCCAATGATGAAATTTATGAAGCCAATTAATTAAATTAGAATATGTTTCTTTCATATAGGTAGGTTATATACAGATGAAATAAAAGGATGGTCTTCTTACCAGCATCCAGAAGAAAATGGCAATCTCGAAAGAATTTTGAAAAAGAAGTATGTGTATTAAAATGAGGACGAGACGAGGTTTGCGGAACCAGAAATGATGATCGGAAGGTTTAACGACAAGCTCCCCTGTTACAGCAACATGCCTTTGGGCAACCTCTTGTGCTAGTTCTGTTATTATGTGCTCTAGTTTTGTGCCCACTATCAGCAATAGCTATATATACATATATGTATATATCACATGGTAAAAAAAAAAAAATAATATTAATGTACAAAAATAATTTGGTGGGGAAAAACAAAAATTGAAATATTAAGATTTGCTTACTATTAAGGGCAGAAATGCAATCCAGAAATATGCATGCCAACCTGGAATCGAATGTAGGGTTAAACGTGAGTCGTAATTACGCGAGGGGTTGTTTGTCTTTGACCACTTTTCGATCACATGAAAGTTTATGCTAATAAAAGTAACACGGGATTTTTTTTTTCGGAATAAGTAGAGATCGAATGTTTCGGAAATAAAAAAGAATTTCAGAGAAAAAGTTGATGTAATCTTACCATGAACATTGAGTACCAAGAAAACTACCACAACAATCCATAGATACCAACTGCAATTTTCACACACAAAACTAAGTAAGATATACTGCATTTGGAAACATTATGCATATATATATGTATATATATAGTAACAAAACTGACCTAATTCCGACGACTTTCCTGAAATCGGTTTCGAAAGCACGAGACATGTACTTGTAAAAATTGAACTTGGGATTGTCCCTGTAGTGATTCTGAAAGGTAAAACAGTACCAATTGTTGTACGTTTGATCATATATATACGTACATATATATATATGAATGTATATGTATTTACCGTGATGAATCCTCGTCGGAGAGTGGTGTAATCGGACTCATTAACAGATCCGTAAAATTGCTTTAAGAACGAATGCTGATCATAAAATCAAAACAAGCCATGATCATATTGGACTAATTCATTAGGTTTCATTTTTTTTTTTTGTTCGAAAAAAATGAATTTGATACATTAATATCGGACTTACTTACCACCCAAGTCAGCAAAGCGGAATCTTTTCCGCATACACGGAATCTTGCCTTGATAAAATCATGTTGGTGGACATGTGTTACTTTCTCGTGCCCTGCACATATTAATTAATTAATCACTTTATTATTTTTTTTAATTTTAAATGTGTGTTATAAATATATATACCTTTTTCAGGATCTTGTTCTTCCTTTTTCTGAATAGAGTCTTCCCATTGTTTCCACTGCCGTATCTGTATTAATTAATTAATTACCAGATTTTCTAAATAATTCAAGATTTATGAATATATGTATAAGTATAGCAAGATTTATGTAGAGAATGAAGTTAGTTATAAATTATAATTACCTTTAAAGTTCCGAAGAGAATGGTAAGAGCAGAGTAAACGACGTGGACAACAGCTAGCACGAATATGAATATGTGAAGATCGTGCAATGCCTTTAGAGACAGCAATGCAGCCATACCCTTTAACAAAATAAAACCAACATTGTAATACGTTATATTAGTCGAGGGGCTCGACCCAAGTTCATGTGAACTCATTTACACTCACAATCTACACTTGTAATGAAAAAAATAAATAAATAATTACTCAATGAAGTATTCTGATAAAAGAAAAAAAGAAAAAAAAGGGTACCCTTTTTTTCGCAGTAGCCTAGAGAATCAGACGGTCCGGCGAGAAGGGCGGCGGTGGCCACCCACCACCGCCACCGGCAGTTGATTTTCCATGATCGTCGTTGTCGTCGTGATTTGGTAGTGAGTTGTTGCAAGGTAGCCAATGATTAGTCAAGTGTTTAGGTATGCATATTGTACTTATTCTGTTCTGGAATACTGTCAGCAGCAGAGATATAAATCCCAACAGCATCAACTCTGCATCAATTTATTTCAATTCATTAATAAATATTTATAAAAAATCGAACTTTTAAAATCAAGAACTTCTTCTTAACCTTCTTTGATCTTTAGCAAGGCCTCGAAAAGGGGTCCTTGTTTTTTGTTCATCAAGAACTGTTTCAATAACATTTAATAATTAATTAATCACATATTATGTATCATCACAATCAATTAATTAATTAATGATCAAAATTTGATCAAAAAAATAAATAAATAAAACCTTGCCAGCATAGTGAAGGACTCTTTCGGCAGCCAAGGAAATGGCGACGATGACCGTACAAACGAGAGCCACCACCCACGTAGGCGTGTACTCCAACGACACACCTTCTCCTCCTCCTCCGGCCATCTATCGATAATCAATTATATATATATTTCAATACAATTAAAGACTATATTATGTTAGTTTTGTACGTGCAATATATGTATATATACACACACACACACACACATTAATGAATAAAGAAGTATTGGGATTAAATTAGTAGGTGAAATAGGATGGAATGAATAATATTCTTGATGCAGGAAGAAGATAGTTGCAATGGTCCAGAAAATGTTGTTAAATGACGACGAGGTTGACGAAGACTTCCACATAATGATAAACAACATTTTCTTTTTCTTCTTATTATTATTATTATTTTGTTTTTTTGAATGAATTATTTGAGTGATGATATTTTTTTGTTTGTGTGTGTGTCGCATCTGTTTAATTTAACGATATAAACATGGAAATTTAAATTGGTATACTGTTTTGTTTGACAACTTGGTGCTGATGCTACTATACCTCTCATTCATTTTACATTGTACTCAATTAGTCCTAAAGTTTTAATAAAGTGATTATTAGTGAGAACCCCCAATACATTAGGATATATTATGATGGATCCGCTCCATTTTTCAATAATAATGAAACCCCCCTTAATTGTTTAATTAAATTAATATTTATATAATTATTAGGTGTTATACCTATTATCCATAATTAACACATAAAACCCTAGCCACATCTATTTTACCCAACAACCGTTGTATCGTCAAATATTATCTCCATCTCTTCTTCTCTTCTTCTCTAACTAAAAATCTGCAGCGTCGGAGGCGGTGGCAAGGAGAGGAAGAAGGCGGCACCACATCTCGAACATTGATGAGGGAAGAACCCCACAACCGCACTGCGGCCGCCACTCCTCCATTACACCTTCGCCTGACTTCCACTCCAATTCAGATCTGCACCGTCGCTGTCATCTCATATTTTCCATGCCCGCGATTTTAGGGTTTTGTTTGGTTGAAGATTGGATTAACAGGTTGTGGCAATCTATATTTTGTTTTTTTATTCGTTCTAGGATTTCTCTCCATTGTCGAGTTCCAAGGATGATGTGAGGAGGGTCATTCTAATTAATTTTGCGGCAATGATTCGTCTTCCTCTAATGCTTGGATCTTGTTAATTGAGGAGCAATTTTCTGAATTTTTTATTTGACTATTTTTTATGTTGGGTATGTTACACAACAATATAGTTGTTTTAGTTATTCTGCTATTTTATTTATAGTTGTTTTCGACATTTTTAGTTGATTTTTGGTTTTTTTGGTAGTTGATTTTAATTTTTTTATTGTTTTTTTCAATAATATGATCTGCTGGAAATATAAAATCGAAAAAAATTGAATTAAAAAAATGAAAAAAAAAACTGTACTTCATTTATTTTTAGTTGTTTTCGACGTTTTTTAGTTGATTTCAATTTTTATAGTTGTTTTCAATAATATGTAGTAATTTGTCGATTTGGTAAATCAGCTGGGAAAAAAAACCGAAAAAATGAATTAGAAAAATTGAAAAAATAATAGTTGATTTTGCAAATAATCCAGTTGTTTACGGAAATATTATAATTGATTAGGGAAATAAATGAACAAAAAAAATAATTTTTTCAGTAATTTGTAGTTGATTTCAGAAATAGTTGATTTCGGAAATAGTTGATTTCAGAAATAGTTGATTTAAAAAAAAAAATTATTTTCAGAAATTTTATAATCGATTTCAAATAAAAAACTGAAAAAAAACATTCAAAATTAAAATAAATATTTAAATAAATAAACAAATATTATAGTTTAAAAAAATTAAATAGGCATTAAAGTAGTTGAGAGTGAATAATAATGAATAAAGGGTAATTTGACAATAAAAAAAAGTTGGATCTATCACTAATAAAAGAAAAGGGGTTGGACCCATCTTTATTAAGAAAATGATAGAGAAGGTTCTCACTAATAGTCACTTGAATAAATAAAGAAAGCGTGTCTACATTTTCTACATACGTACTGACTCCGCTTATAATTGAATTGAATGGATTATTTATTAAATTAACAACTCAATTAACCAATAGGATTAATTAATCAAAAACTTAGTGTTAAACCAACGACCCCAAATCCATATACCCCTCAACCACTTTGTAATATAATAATACTTAGAGGATGTTTGGCTAAACTTATAAGATGTTAAAAGAAGTTTATAAGATGTTTAGAGTTTAAAATTCTTCTAAAGTGTTTGGTAAATTTAAAAAAAAAATCATAATTTTTTTTTAAATAAGTTATTGGAGAACAAATAAGATCTTTTGAAAAAAAAAATACATTTACCCCACATTTTTATTTAAGATCTCACAATGAGTAAAGATAGGAAATAAACTCATTATCCAAACACTCTAAAAATTAATCTTAAAAATAAGATGTAACAGTTTATCAACTCTTAAAACATCTTATCAGATCTAAGAGATTATCAGATGTTTAAAATAAGTTTAACAAAAAATACTAACCATTCCTAGTTTTCCTTTTTAGAGATCATTCCATGGCCACCACCACCAATTATAGAAAAACTATTTGGATGGAAATGAAGGTTTTCTGCCTATGCCACCACCTCCGCCGTCGGGGGTGGCTCCACCCTTCAAGCCCGACACCTTGTCAACTCCCAAGACGGAGGCAATGACTGTAATAGTAGACATGGACCAAAATAGCTTTTGCGTTGATCCACAAAAAAAAATAAAAAAAAATAAATGACAGAATAGTGATTATTCAAATTCTGGTAACATTGTTTTGAAGAAAAGTAAATTTGGGCAGTTGATGCGATGCAGTCACCAAGATTTTTTTTTTATTGACTTCAATGAAAACTTATTGGCTGCGGCTATATGCAAGACTAATTCCACTTGTGCAAGACCAAATTAAAAATTTGAATGTATAAATACTATAATACCCCTACTTGTTAAAAAAATAGAAAATTCCAAATGTGCAATACCAAAAACTCAAAAACAAAACAAAAACCATATCACATCTCATCTTCTCCATCAAAACATTTATCCTTCCTCATCTATAAACCCACAAAACCTAAACATTCAAAATCATCAAAACTCAACAAATCTTACAAAGATGGCAAGTATGGAGTCATAAGACATCAAAATAGAAGAATCTACGGTGGAAAAACCCAAGAAAATATGCATTTATGTGTTTTTTTAGCTAGAATATCGTTTTTTTCCAAAAAAAATCCCGCGCAGACGCAGTCGACATGTACATGTCGAATTTTATAGGCAAAAATCGACATTGAGATGTCGATTTTTTAGTACAAAATCGACACCTTAGTGTCGAAATTTAACTGTTAGCAAAGTAGTCCAAATATACTAAATTTCGACATTAAGGTGTCGAATTTATGGACATATATTCGACACCTTAATGTCGAAATTTAGTTGTTTCATATTTAAAAAAAAAAAAATCCCGCGCAGACACGGTCGACATGTACATGTCGAATTTTATAGGTAAAAATCGACATTGAGATGTCGATTTTGGAGTACAAAATCGACACCATAGTGTCGAAATATAACTGTTAGCAAATTAGTCCAAATATACTAAATTTCGACATTAAGGTGTCGAATTTGTGGACATATATTCGACACATTAATGTCGAAATTTAGTTGTTTCATATTTTTTTTATTATTTGTTATTTGGTCTTGCATGAGCAAACACAAACCAATTTAATTTATGGGTATATTTGTCATTTCATCTTAATAAAATGGAATCTTTTAGAATCTTTTTTTAATTTGGTCTTACACAAGTTGAATTAATATTGCATATAACCGCAGCCAAACTTATTTTCTTCTTCACAAATAAATTCCTTGAGCCACATGAATTAAATTAGTTGTCTGGATGAAGTTTTGTAATTCACTTTTGAAAACCTTCGTTTCCATCCAAATAGTTTTTCCCATAAAGTTTCCGGTCAGAAAGATAAAAAGCATGCATTTTGCCAAGTAAATGCTAATTGAAGGGTGCAAAGTGTCAAATTTGTAATGTAAGAATGCAGTGTGCCAAATGAGTGTATTTGGATGGTGCAAAGTGTCAATTACCCATGGAATTATCAATATTCTTGCTTTTTAGTTTCTCAAAATTATTTTTTGCTGATTTAAAAAGTGTTAAATAAAATCAATATTAATTTTTAAAATTAGAGTTTCCTTAGAATTAGTATTTAACTCTATTTACCCTTTTATTAATCAAATCTTTATATTTTTCTAATTTTAATCAGAATATTCAATTTTAGTAGGACACTATTTTGTTATTCCAACATTAGATTGGGTAATCTTCTATATGTCCCTGTTACTAGATTCTAAAAGTATTAATCCAAGTCATAAGTCCAATTTTACTAGAACCCCTACAATTAATTATGGCCCATATATTCTTGAATAAAATATATTCTTAAATAAAATAGGAATGGATCTTTAATATTTAAAATCAACAACTTTGAGCATCAATACAAATATTTTTGAAGGATTACTTTCTTTGTTCTATTCTACAATCCCGGGTCGGGTCGGGTAGGATTACTCGAGTACAACTTTTGGGAAATTAAGTAAATTAGGGCTACGCTTTTTAGTTCTTCACTCTTAATTTCTCCTTCCTTCCAATTCTAAGACTCAATCAATCTCAACCAAAAAGTCTTCAACCACCGGCGACGGCAGCGGCGGCGGCGGCGGCGGCGGCGGGTACAGCGTCTATCTTCTTGGGATTATATTTTATCAGCAACCTTTGCTTGGGCTCTGCTTCCTGTACCTGAAAGCTGAAATAAAAGGCGAGTCTTTTATCCTTGTGCTCGTCATAATTTTTTCTTCAATGGGGTTTTTTTATTTTCTCTCTTTTCTTGTTAGTCCTGAAATTTTAGTGTGTTTCTAGTTTAGCTGCAATTTTAGTTCTATATATAAATTACTGAATCAATTTGCACACCATTATTTAATTGTAATAGGTTTGCCTTTTTACTGTTTGTGTTGTTTTAACTCCAACTTGCAGATGTCAATCCCTCAAGATGATTACGATGAAATTTTGAGGGAATGGCAATTAAAAATTATCTCACCAAGGGCAACCTTAAATGAGGTCAGTGCTGGAAATCCTATTGATTTTGGTGTAGATGTCCAATTTTTTATGGGCAGTAAGATTTTTGATACCGACCACGATAGAGAGGATACTAAGATGTAGGAAAACGAATGGGAAATTGTCTAGGCTAATTTTACGCGTCATGTTGATAAGTAAGTAGGAAAGTAGATTTTGGTAGAGGGATTAAGATTGATCAAGAACTACAGGGAACTTGGTTTCGAAAAAAACATTTTAAAGCCTGCAAAAAAGAACTCTTGCAAGAATTACTAAAAAGTCACTAAAAAGTGTCACCGAGGATTATTGCTTTGTGAATCTGCACAGGATCTTCCAGAGAGTTGGTTCCTCCATTTGTTTCTGGCAGAGGGCTCTGCATGTTATGTTAGTAGTACTTGACATACTTTAGTTGAGGACATGGTTTTAAATGTTATCTTCGTACTTTGTCTTTATTATGGTAATAGTATGAAATCATTTAGAAGGTGTGGCATGTGAATAATCTGACGTTGATGTGTCACTCTGTGCCACTTGTGTGAGCGTGTTATGTGTAATCATGGTTCCAGACATACATGTCCCGCAATAGTTTTGTTTTATGCTGCTTGTGACTTTTGCAATTTATGATCTGAGTCTTATGAAATTATGAATAACTTGGTCAGTTCTATACTGATTCTTCTTTTACCTTACTCATGTTTCAGATTATTTTAAATCCTGAACTGATTAGACTGGTGCCAAGATACGTGTAAAACTTTGCGGATTGAAGACATTAAGCAATCAAGAAAATAGTTAAAACATATTTATATCCAAAGTAGATGGCTGAGATTAGTGAGAAGTTAGCTGAAGTTTCACTCGATGAAGTAACTCCCAATCGTGATGGAATTGATGCGGCTGAGATGCAAAATAAGCAGGTAATGTATTAGATCTTGAAATATTTGAAAGCTCTTTCAAAATCATCTTTTCTTCGTTGATTACTTTTTTGGGAATGTGATTACTAGCTAATACATCCTTCCTGTTTTCTGTTTCAGTTATCTGTAGAGAGGGATGATTCATCAATTATTGTTGATAAAATCGATCACAAGCTACTTCGGAATATATGTATCCTCGCACATGTAGATCATGGAAAGACCACTCTTGCAGACCATTTAATAGCTAATTACGGTGGGGGTGTGCTACATCCGAAGCAAGCTGGTAAACTTAGATTCATGGATTACTTGGATGAAGAACAGAGGCGCGCCATCACTATGAAGAGCTCGTCCATTGCACTTCAATATAAGGACTATTTCGTAAATTTGATAGATTCACCAGGCCACATGGATTTCTGCAGTGAGGTATCTACTGCCGCGCGGTTGAGCGATGGTGCTCTAGTGTTAGTAGATGCTGTGGAGGGTGTTCATATTCAAACACACGCTGTATTGCGTCAAGCATGGATTGAGAAGCTGACACCCTGTTTAGTTCTTAATAAGATCGATCGCTTGATATCTGAGTTGAGATTGAGTCCCATGGAAGCTTATAATAGGTTATTAAGGATTATCCATGAGGTTAATGGGATAGTTAGTGCTTATAGGTCGGAAAAGTACTTATCCGATGTGGATTCAATGCTTTCAGTTGCTCAATCTGGTGATGCAGGTGAGGAAAATTACGAGTTATTAGAAGATGACGAGGAGGACACTTTTCAACCTCAGAAAGGAAATGTCGTCTTTGCTTGTGCCTTAGATGGATGGGGATTTGGGATTAGTGATTTTGCCGAAATGTATGTTTCTAAGCTTGGGGCGAGCTCAGCAGCTTTACAGAGGGCATTGTGGGGCCCTCGGTACTACATTGCCAAGACTAAGATGATTGTGGGCAAGAAAGCAATAGGCAATACATCAAAAGCTAGGCCTATGTTTGTGCAACTTATTCTCGAGCCAATTTGGAGTGTTTATCAGGCTACTCTGGAAGGGGATAGGGGATTGCTTGAGAAGGTGATTAAATCTTTTAATTTATCTGTACCTCCGCGCGAACTTCAAAATAAGGACCCGAAAGCTGTGCTTCAATCTGTCATGAGCCGTTGGCTTCCGTTGTCCGATACAATGTTGTCTATGGTAGTGAAATGCATTCCTGATCCTGCTACAGCCCAGTCTTTACGAATAGCGAGATTGCTGCCTAAAAGAGAGACTTTTGAGAATGGGGAAATGTCCGATGTGCTCGCCGAAGCAGAACTCGTGAGGAAATCGATCGAGGCTTGTGATTCGAGTACCCTTGCACCATGTGTTGCATTTGTGTCTAAGATGTTTGCTGTCCCCACAAAGATGCTTCCTCGTGGAGAGATTCTGAACAATCCGACAGATGATGGTGATTCGGGAGAGTGCTTTCTTGCATTTGCTAGGATCTTTAGTGGGGTCCTCTTTGCTGGGCAGCGAGTTTTTGTGCTTTCTGCTTTATACGATCCGGTGAAGGTGGAATCGAATCAGAAGCATGTGCAAGCAGCCAATTTGCAGTCGTTGTATCTAATGATGGGTCAAGGGCTGAAGCCAGTCCCATACGCAAAGGCGGGGAATATTGTTGCCATACGAGGGCTTGGTCAGCATATATTAAAGAGTGCTACTCTTTCATCTACATTAAATTCGTGGCCTTTCTCCAGCATGGTTTTCCAAGTTGCACCGACACTAAAAGTTGCGATTGAACCATCCGATCCAGCCGATATGGGAGCGCTCATGAAAGGGTTGAGGCTCTTGAACCGTGCGGACCCTTTTGTTGAGGTCACTGTTTCTGCTAGAGGGGAGCATGTACTTGCGGCTGCGGGAGAAGTACATCTCGAGAGATGTGTAAAGGATTTGAAGGAGAGATTCGCAAAGGTGGCTTTGGAAGTCTCTCCTCCACTCGTCTCTTACAAGGAGACGATCGAAGGTGACATCACCACCAATCCTCTGGAGAATCTGAAACTGTTTTTTGGTGGAAACTCCGAGTATGTGGAGAAGACAACTCAAAATGGTAGGTGTGTTGTACGTGTGCATGTTTTCAAACTTCCAACACCTCTTACTAAGCTGCTCGATGAAAGCTCTGAATTGCTGGGAGATATAATAGGAGGCAAATCTGGACAGGCTTTGAAGAGCTTGGAAACATCGAGGGGTAGCATTGTAGAAGATGAGAATCCGATCGAAGCACTCAAGAAACGGATGATGGATGCTATAGAGAGTGAGTTTTCCTCCAGCAATACAGAGTCGGAGAAATTGAGAACATTCTGGAAAGATCTATTCAAACGGATTTGGGCGTTGGGACCTAGACAAGTTGGTCCGAACATTCTCTTCACTCCAGACAGTGGAAAGAGCGTCGAAGCCTCTGTCCTAATTAAGGGCTCTCCTTACGTTTCCGATAAATTAGTTTTTTGCAACATAGACAACAACAACAATAATGGATTGAATGAGTCATCAGACGAAACTTTGTTGAGAGAAGAAGCAGAGAGTTTAGAGAGCAGCGTCTTGTCTGGATTTCAGGTCGCCACTTCAGCCGGTCCTTTGTGCGATGAGCCTATGTGGGGCCTAGCCTTTATTGTCGAGGCTTTCGTATCTCCTCCACCCACGGAGGATAATTCCTCCACCGCCACCGCCACTCACCACCACCACCACCCGGAACAGTATGGTGTTTTCACAGGACAAGTGATGACAGCTGTCAAGGAGGCGTGTAGGACAGCTGTGCTGCAACGGAAACCTAGGCTAGTCGAAGCGATGTATTTCTGCGAACTGAATACACCGACGGAGTATTTGGGGTCAATGTACGCAGTGCTTGCTCGAAGAAGAGCTAGGGTTTTGAAGGAAGAAATGCAAGAAGGTTCGCCTCTGTTTACGGTGCATGCTTATGTACCAGTTGCAGAGAGTTTTGGATTTCCGGACGAATTGAGGAGATGGACGTCTGGAGCAGCGAGTGCTTTGCTTGTATTGAGCCATTGGGAGACGCTTTTGGAGGACCCGTTTTTTGTGCCGAGGACTGAAGAAGAGATTGAGGAACATGGGGATGGATCCAGTATGCTGCAGAACACCTCAAGGAAGCTTATTGATGCTGTGAGGAGGAGGAAGGGTTTGCCTGTGGAGGAGAAGGTGGTACAGCATGCAACTAAACAGAGGACGCTGGCCCGTAAAGTTTAAGAGTTGATAAACGGTTTTTTTGGATTATGGTATCGGCTTCATATGGTTAATTTTTTTGTGTGCGGTGATTTAGGTACGTAATCGGAGGTGAAGCTCCTGAGGTGATTATAGTGTACTTTGTAAGGCGTACTGCTATTTTAGTCAATTTTGCAGGTGATTCGTATTGTACCAACTTACACAGATATATGATTATTGGAACTACACTAATTTTACTTGAAACCCCCATTCAGTTACTTTTGAAAGATGATATGTTCAAATGTATTACACTGTCAACATGGTCCAATTTTATACTACATGAATGTTTGTTTGTCAATGATATATCCAATGTTCTTCAAGTAACTATGTAAACAAGAAAATGGACAACAGAGAATGAATGATAAATAGTCTAATAAGTTAGATGAATATTGATACAACAACAAAAGTCTCAAATTCAGCTCTCTTCTTTTTTATACATATGTCCAGTAAACCAAGTTCGAAACTTGTACTATTTTGATCCTACTTAATCGATAATTTAGCTGCATAAACCTAGTGCACAACACGAGTTTGATGGGTAACTCAAAAGCATTTGCGGTGAACGATAGACGGTCCAGTTTCATCGTAATCGGCTTTTGTTACATGCTGATTTTGAGGAAACACCACTTTGGCTAGTATTGCACCTCCCACCCATGCTGAGTAATTTGCCAAGTTATCAGGCATATATTCTGGAGGCTGCATTCAGACAAATAGTTAAAAACAAATCATATGCACATTTCAGAAATTAACTGCAGTTGATTTTAGTAAATTTTATTTAATCATTTAATTGATTAAAATAACATTAAAAGCTAACCGTATAAGAGATGATAGTGTATTATATTAGATTACCTTGACGAGAGAAGGCCTGATAGCTGAGGAGGAAACCAAAGCCTCCTTCTGAAACCTATCTTCAAAACCTACAACAGCAATTAGTAGATTATGGCATCAGCTGCTGCAGAATATCAGTTTTGCAATGAACAAACCAACAAAAAGAAGAGTACACGTATATAGTCTCCATAAATTTTAGCAGCAAAACACATATATCCATCGTATATTCTTAAATAAATTGGAGTCCAACTGAAAAATTACACTGAAGTTGAGATGATAAACAGATAAATACTTGTCAACCAAAATGAAGGGAGAAAACCTTTCGTAAAATCCAAGCATATAAGGCAGTTGAGCACTAGAATTGACAAAAGTACTTGGTGGGAACAAATAGCAAAAAACAAAAAATCAATCTAGGAATTATTTAGTGATTATCAGAACAGGGAATATTAACAGTTTTCGTTGCTATGGAGATGTGATTACAATGTGAGTCAGTTTTCCAATATACAGAACCTTTGTCAAAAGATAACTGTTTTAAAGTTCCTTTTTGCAAGTGTGGTGATAGTCACAAAATCAGCTGACTAATAATGAAAGTACAATTAACAAAGAAATTAATGATGAGCTACGTGTTGGTTTCAATCATAAAAACTTACCAGTCATAGAAGCAGTTCCTCCACAAAGTACAGTATTTTCTAACAGCTGGCGATGATTCTCAGTTGACACAGTTGAAATACAACGAACAAGCTGCTCAACTATTCCATGCGCCTCTAAACCTAAAATTGATGGTTGAAATAAGGCCTCACCAACCGTGTACCTCTCTCTTCCAATTTTTATCACCTGAATTGGAGAGCATAAAATTATCATTATAAACAATTTAGAAAATGTTGAAGTATTAGCAAACAAGCAAAATATTTTAGCAGCATATTGAAGTATCTCTGACTGTAATTTTAAAACCTCAGTACAACATCAAGTGGGAAGCATAGATTAACCTGTCCGTCAGGCAGTGTGTGCAGCTCCTCAGGGCATGCCTTCTGCATCTTCTCATAAGACAAATCATCCTCAGCAGAGCATGCATATCGCTCCTTCAATTTTTCAACATCGGAGATGCTTAAGTTGACAAGCGGATTGGATTTCTGGAGTTCTTTAGCAAATAAGTTTGTCAAATCCAAACCCCCTACTTCAAATCTTCTAGAAGATATATGCTGAACAGCACCTTCAATTACTGATGCAATATCTGAAAATGTGAAAAATGAATTGTAAGTTAACAAAACTACGCTCCTGAAGGTGAGATTATGATAGTCAAAATTGCTTCCTTAAACCATAAAAACCTACAAAGGTAAATGAGACAGACAGTGACTAAACTAATTCAGATAACATAACACTGATTGATATAAGCAAAGCTATTATTTAAGCACTATCACTATACTAGTGCTAGTAAAATAATAACATATACTAATAGTCAGGTGCTTGATTCTATTTTTTCCCTTCTATTTTTTAGACATTTCAAGAAAAAGCAAGAATAGACTTAATATGCACCAACCAACGAGGTCACATATCAAATCGGCACAGATCCAAGGCCATTGCACACAGCACAACATTCCAAACAATTTGGATCTTAAAAAGAAAAGGCAGAGCACCAAAAGTTGAAGGAGAAAAGAGATTAAGATTTATAGGGAAAAAAAGGACCAGAAGATCTGTAGTTTAGTTCAGCCAAAATGCCGAATTGCATGCTTAACAGGCCGAAAACTATCTCCATTCTTTTTCATTATGCTTCCTACACTTCAATCATATCTGATGGTGTTCGTTAGTACTTCAACTTCAAGCTTCATGAATCCCTTTTTCTCATTATTTCCCCCATTTTAATAATGTTTATGCTCCAAAACCTATAATAGTTCTGAAGATTCTTCAATACTCTCCTATAGAAGGCCAAAAGTTGGACAAAATAATTTCGAAAATCGATGGTCGCCTTTTAGTTAATTGAACAAATACTAATCCATCACCATCTCAAAAGTACTGGTTCGTTAAGAAATCACAGGAAAACAAATTAAGCAACACATACCTAGCTTGCCATGGCCAATATCAACAGTGCAGCCAGAGATCCTCCCCACTGCATAAAGTGATAGTACAGCTTGCTCGGATGCATAAAAGCCAGAGATGTTGAACTTTTCAAACATCAACTGCACCAATTGCTCTCTAACTGCCTGTTCCACAAATATGTATATTAATAATAAAATCCTACAAGGTTCAAACAATAATTATTTCTACATCATGTCATTTGAATGACATACAAAAATCTGTTGGGTCAAATATTAAATCTGAACTCAACAGTTTGCAACAATTACTGAAAAAAAAGGTGTATTATCATGATAAAGTCCTCTACTTAAATAGCACCTCTGATTTTGATCGTTATTATGCTTGAGAGAGCTATGCCATCATTTTTTAAAGAGACTCATAGCTCTAATCAGGATCATCATGAATTTAGGAAGATACGGTCGGCATTAAGGCTTTCCCTCACTAGTCCCCAATAATCAATGTTAGTACATACACATGCCCCACACTACCAGCACCCCTCATAAACATTATTTTATTATGAAGAAAAGGAGAGAAAAGAAAAATATCAAGCTTTTAAATGAAACTGATATAAAAAAAATTGACTAACCTTCGGAGTTGCTAGCGGATCTGCAAACAAAATTTGTCCTTCATTGCCAATCTCCCATCCTAAACCAGTATAAAGTACATGCCTTAAAAGATCTTCCATGGCATCCCAGTCTCTGATAAAGCCTCGAACAACTGGATCAACAGTCACATTCTCCAGCAACGAAGCATCTGTTAATGACTCATCTTCCGGTACTCGCTTCATTTGTGTTGGGATGACCTATAATGATGATGGAATAAATTAAAAAAGAGAGAAAAGAAATAAACAAAGTATGCAAGTAACTAACAAAATATATTATATACAGTTAAAGCATAGGCATCGTACTGAAAGGGTTTGAAGATGTAACGTAGTGTAAGAAGGTAACAATTAAGAATCGACAATGTAGCACTAATAAAGGTGGAGTCATTCGTAAATAATTTAATAACAAATTGATGTCATTAAAAAAAAAAAAAGTCGCTCAAATTTTCTGGGAAATTGTTACTACTAGAACACACAAGTAAACAGGTTTTGATTGCAACAATGTCAAAGCTAAGTAAATGTACAGAAGGAATAATCAATTTGACCAGTATTTCGCCAACCATGCGAGTTTCTTTCCATTTCTTTTACAGAGATAGTCTAGAGAGAACCGTACAAGTTCCATTCTGCTCAATCTTCAACAAATTGTGAGTTTCAGTTGAGTCAACAAAATGTGGGCTACATTAGAGGTGGTTGAATAGGACTCAAAATTGAAATCTGTTACTGATCTTGAAACAATTCTTCATTTTTCCTAATTCTGCTCTTCTCATTCCTCACCCTTCACACATAAAACCCAGACTTAAAACTCCTTGAAGTAAGAAGCCTAAAGAAAAACCCTAGTCCATCCAATGTAGTAGAACTCCAAATCCATAACTACAGCATATTCAGTAGCAGGAATCTAGAGAAATGTTTGCAATCGAATACACAGTTTAAACACAGGATGGATCACCAAAAGTTCCGCCAAATTCCTATTATTTTCACTCTAATAGCTTTGCCATGAAAGCATCTAATCTCCTACTTTAATTTTCTATATAGAAAAAGGAAGGTAACCTCAGGGCCACATTCGGGCAAGGCGTGATTAAATTTGAACAGTCCAGAACCGGCATCAACCACTGCAGGCTCCATGCTCTCACTTGATTCAAAGGCAACCGTGACGGCTAGCCAATTAAGACGAATAGGCAGACAAAGTTTGAGTGCAAAATGGGGAAATGTAGGGAAATTCTCTTTTATAGGCCAAAGGACAAGATGGTAAAAGCATTCAATGTGGTGGTAATTTTCGGAAGCTCGTACCCGAGTTATAAAAGTCAATAATAACCCTCGCATAAAAGCACTTTGAAATAACTTTCAAATATGAATCATATATAGAAATAAGAATTACATGTTAAAACTGGGGACCAATTATAACTATATATGAATAACACTTAATGTTTCATTTCTCGTATTAAGAGAAAGATTGTTTCCCATTGCAGCTATCCTGCCTACTTTTTACTTCTATAATTGAAGGCCTTTTTTCCGTTATAAAAATGACTAGACGTAATAATTTCCATCATCTTAATTAAAAAATTAAAGCCAAATGTGGATGGAAAACAATCTACTGAAAGGTGATTAGGATTTCTCCATAAATCCCCTTGTAGTCTACCTCATATGGATATCTATAAAGGCTTCATCTCAGCAACTTAATGCTCGAACAAGTACGGCATAAATATTATTCATGCTATTCAAGGAAGAATAAATCAGGTACTGAGAGTATATGTGTGTTAAGATCATTCCACGTGTCGAACATTTTGAGATACTCATTCACAAATCATAATCCAGTTATGATTGTGGTGCATTCACATGTTTGACAAAAACAAACGGACATAATTTTGCAACCAAAAAATGTCCTAATTAAGAAACGGGGGAAATCAAAACAAGAGCCTTCTTCTAGTTTATTATTCAAACACAAGGCATTTTCGGATCCCACATTACAATGTTCACATAATTCTAATCATTTTGGTAGTCATTGAAATGCATGAGAGATCAAAGACTTCAGTCCCTGTATAAAAGACAATTCCTGATGTCATGAAATATGACATTCTCAAATATGTTTACATCTAACCTTGGTAGACATCTCTCAAGAATGAAAATATCCATTGTTGCCAGTTATTGTTTAAAGGAAAAGGATAAAATAAATCAATTATTACGATTGCTCCAAAACGAAACTAAAGTTATCTTATATGAATGTATATATTACACAACTCCAACGAAATCGGTCTCTTCGACCCTACACCCAGTGGTTACTACCATGTGTTTTTCCTACCAACACGTGTCCCTTTAGTTCACTTTTAACTAATTTTAATTTAGTAAGAGTCTCAAAGAAGCACGTCTCAGTTAGAATTCAACTTGAGAAAAAAACATGTGTCGATGGGAAAAAAAAGAACCCGGTGATAATCGCCGGGTGTAGGTTCGAGGGAACCAACTAAATTATAGAGTGAACATTAAAGGGATCTTAGTACCCTCCTCAATCCCAACACATATAGCTTTGAAATGAGAAAAACTGGGTTTAGTTATTCAATCAAAGCCCTAGGTAAGAATCATGGAAGCTTTTGGATCTGATCAATCCTTGTATAAAGAATTTACAAAAATAATAAATTAGCAAAATGTGATACAAACATAAAATTATTGCTTGTAACTGCTGAAAAATGAAGTTGAGACGCGGAGGAATTAAGATGATAGTCAGGAAATTCCATATCCATTTCACATTCTTAAGGGGTCAATCAAACCCGAAAACACCCCTACCACAACCAACACACACACACACACCTAAAACACGCATTTTCGCTACTGATACCAATTCACCAATCCATAACAATAAATAGCAGAAACGCAAAAAGTGGCCGGAAAAAAGGAAATTACCATGGAAGGAGGCTGGTCGGGAACAGCAAAACCAGCTTTGAGCAATTTGGTACCAGCGTCAACAACCACCGCCTCCATAACTAGTAAAATTAATTTATGAGGGTTTTGCAGTTAGGGGTTACAATGCATGTAGGTTTTGCGTTGAACTTGTTGAATCAACGCCGCCGTGAACCGCCGGATGTTTGGCTAGGTCTCTCGAAATTAATTAATGTTTCGCTCTGCAAATTATTTTTGAGATTAAAGCTGCCGCATCAGTCTCAGTGGGTATATATATATATACTCAAATTTTGTTAACAATTCATGTGTATATATACCAATTTATTGCATTTGGCCCCTTCATTTATATGATATTCCTAAACAAATCCTCATGTTATTAATATTCTAATATATAACCCTGAATTTTTGAGTTTTTAGAGAATAGTTTGTTAACAAAATTCTAATATAAATAAGGGAATTCCTCATATACGCAATTCCTGGTTGTTGAAATAAAATTGTATGTTTAATATTTTCTTGGTATTTCTATTTTCTAGTTATGATTATGAGTAACTCTCATGTATTCTTCACTATTTTTTTCATGTAGTTTTCTCCAATTTTATGTATATATTTTGTAAATTCTTTAATTTTTCATGGAAACTTTAATGAATTTTCAATATTGTTTTTGCATTGATGTTTGTGAATATTATATCTTTCTTTGATTCTTTGTATTTTTTCTGAGTAAAATTGCTTTCTTAGATGCACGACATCATAATTGCGTAGGAAACATGTACAACAATACCATTTTTACGCCCTCGTCACACCTAATCTATCGATTTTGCGTCTATCGACGATGAAAAAACAGTAAACTTGCGTCTAACTCATATGTAACAAAGTCTTTCTCGATTTATAGAGCTTTTCAATGTTGATTTTACCACCATTTTTTTTCTTTTGGTTTAATTCAACAAAATTCGCCTAAAAAATCATGGCGCTAAGCAAAAACCTCTATTTTTTCCAATTGCAATTTAGTTGTAAAAGTTAGAAAACCCTAATTTAAATTTTGAATTACAACAACAATATGTGTAATAAGCTTTAAATGTACAAGTAAATTTATTGGATTTTTGGTTAAAAAAAATTATAGAGTTAAAGAGAATAAGAGATAAATGGTTGGGGTAGTGTTAAAAAAGATTATTGTGTTTAGAGGGTTGATTGTGAATGATTACTCTGTTTAGAGGGTGCAAAAGTGCTATTAAATTTTTTTCAAAGGTGCATGAAACACGTTATTTACAAAAGTGTTTTTTAACTCTCTCACTTTCAAACTAAATTTTAGTTATTACTTAGTGGGCTAAGTGTTATGACTTAGTGGGCTAAGTAGTGATTAGTGGGTTTAATTGTGGGTTTTATTCTAACTTCCTAACTAACCCACTAACCCATTATCTTGAGTGCTCTTGTGGTTGGTTTCCTTGCAGATCATGGGTTGAGGAGTGGAAGCTTGGCAAGTCTATAAATACCAAACTCAAGACTCAAGAACAACACAGATTTCGAGGAAACAAAATAGAGAGCTGAAGTTTTATCTCGAGAATTTTAGAGTGTTTCTAGGATCTGTTGTACGTACTCTTTATGAGTACATTATTTGAAATCTAGAATTTTTAATATTTTTCTTTTAGTATCTAGATTTGATTGTAAGAATGATCATGAGAATGATTCATTCATAAGGAAGAAGTTTTCGCACCTCTTCTGTTTGTATTCTTGGAATACTGATTTTAATATATTTTTCCGTCCTGTAAAGGGCAAGTTCACAAGTCTTTACTTGTGAACATTTTTTAATTCTGAGTATTGTTCTTTTATCTTTAAATTTCCGCTGCATGTTTGTTCAAGTGTCATAACACTTAAGATAACACCTCTGTATTAAACGAATTCGGGACCATAAATTCTTTCAATTGGCATCAAGAGCCAACACTTGACGTATACTAAGTGTTTGTTCCTATTTTCTTTACAGAAACGAATTCGTGATGGATACTCAGATGACTGCTTCTATGCGACCTCCTGTACTTGATGGCACAAACTACACCTACTGGAAAGTCAAGATGAGGGCGTACATCAAAGCCATTGATGAGAGAGCCTGGAGATCTACTCTCACTGGATGGAAGCCACCAACTATCACACATGTGGACGGGGATGTGTTTCCAACTCCAGAATTACGGTGGACACCAGACGATCTATCAAATGCTAACCAAAACTCAAAGGCGTTAAATGCAATTTTCAATTCAGTAGATTTAACAATGTTTAAATTAATCTCTGTATGCACTTCTGCGAAGGATGCTTGGGAAGTTCTTCAGCTACATTGTGAGGGATCAGATAGTGTCAGAAGAACCAAACTCAGATTACTCTCTTCCAAATTTGAGAGACTGAGAATGGAGGAAACTGAAACAATTTCTCACTACAATGAGAAGTTGATTGATTTGGCTAATGAATTTCAATCCTTAGGTGGTCCCTTGAGCAACGAGACACTAGTGAATAAGGTATTGAGAACTCTTCCAGAAAGATTCAGCATGACGGTTACTGCTATTGAGGAGGCTAAAGATACATCATCTCTACGGCTGGACGAATTAATTGGTAGTCTCAAGTCCAGAGAGATGAACTTCGAAGATCAAAGAAAGGAGAAAGGAAAGGCTATCTCAAATGCACTCCAGGCAGAATTAGAAAAGGAAGATGTTGCTCTGGAATATGATGATGATGCAGAAGAATGTCTCAACAATGTGGCATTTCAAATTCAGAAATTCAATAGGGCGTACAGACGAAGTGGAATCAAGCCCAGACAGTTATTTCCAGAAGGCTCTCCACAAAATCGACAAACTCAGCCCCGGAACAGATCTATTCCACAGAGAACATTTCCTCAAACATCTTCTCAAAACACTTTAAAAAATTCTTCATTTATTCGTTCAAATTTTGAACCACCTAACTTGGATCATATTAAATGCAGGGCTTGTTCAGGATTTGGACATTATGCTAATGAATGCGCAAATACCTTGAGAAGAAGATGAATGAGTCTGATTTGTGCAGTCAGTGATGATGAGGAAGAGCAACCTGAACAGACAGAGGAACAACAATCCACTAAACAAGCCCTCTCTGTCAGATATATCACTGGAAACACTTCTGAACCAGAATCAGAAGGAGTTCCTCTGGATGCTGCAACACTTTCTGAAACACTTTCAGTAACTGAAATTTCTGAGTTAAATAATGATCATTATACATGTTTAAACTCTATTTCTCTGAATACTGCAGAGTCCAGTAATGAAGCAGTTAGTGATGATGAAGAAATGTGTAAGAAGCTGATCAGAAACTTGGAGAAGAAGACTCAAGCTCTAGATGCAGCCAACAGGGAAAATTCTTCCCTTAAAGAAACAATCACACATTTGGAGGTTGGTATCACCAAAAAGGATCTTGAACTGGCAAAGGTGAAAGATGAACTCAAAGAAGCAACTCTAGCAATCAAGAGGATGAATACCGGCACAACTAAACTCGAAGAGATTGTGTCACTAGAGAAGTACAACAAAAAGGAAGGTCTAGGGTTCAAGAAACAAGTGAAGAAACACAAGCCAGTAAAGAAGAAAGAAATTGTCTTTGTCAAAGAAAAGAGTTCAAATGGCAAGGAATCCAGGAATCTCACAGTCACCACTTCAGAGTCCAGAACAAGGGGATACATTTGTCATTATTGTTTCTCACCAGGACATATTCGTCCATTTTGTGAAAAACTCAGCAGTGACAAAATGTTGTACAAAATAAGCCACATCACTCCTGGGAACACTTCAAAGAAAAAGGTAGAATGTACCAAAAATGAGTGTAAAATATGGACTCCCAAAGGTAAACTTTTGTGCAAAGCAGTATACACCTCTTTAAATGCTAACATTTCAGGTTCATGGTACTTTGATAGTGGATGCTCGAGGCACATGACTGGAACAAAGGAATTTCTATCAAACTACCACACACTTAATGGAGGACGTGTAACCTATGGAGGAGGAGCTAAAGGAAAAGTGGTTGGACGTGGAACACTCAGTATTGAGGGACTCCCAAAACTTTCAAATGTCCTACATGTTGAAGGATTGGGGTCAAACCTCATCAGTATCAGTCAATTGTGTGATGATGATCTACGTGTAGAGTTTGATAAATACTGTTGTTCTGTGTTTGATAATCAAAATCATTGTGTACTGACAGGTTCCAGATCAATGGATAATTGCTATCAAACAGGTGACACCATATCTTGCAAGAGCTCAAGAGTAAGTGAAGTAGAGCTATGGCACCAGAAGCTAGGACACACAAACTTCAAAAATCTGAAGCTGCTCAACAAATACAATGCCATAAGAGGAGTACCAGATCTCAAGATCAAGGATATTCCTATATGTGGAATGTGCCAGAAGGGAAAGCAAACCAGAGTACCACACAAAGTGTTGCAACACATTGGTACCACTATTTGTTTTGAACTTGTACACATGGATCTTATGGGTCCTATAGAGGTAGAAAGCCTAGGTGGTAAAAAATATGTCTTTGTATGTGTGGATGATTTTTCAAGATATACATGGGTGTATTTTTTAAGAGAAAAATCAGACACTTTTGAGGTGTTCAAAAATCTGTACAGGTTTGTTAAAACTCAATTTCAAGTTTCTGTTCGTAGAATCAGATCTGATCATGGAAAAGAATTTGAGAATGCTTTATTTCTTGCTTTTTGTAATAAAAAGGTTATAAAGCATGAATTTTCTGCTCCAAAAACTCCTCAGCAAAATGACATTGCTGAAAGAAAAAACAGAACCATCCAAGAAATGGCTAGGGTGATGATGAGTGCAAAAAATCTGTCTAAAAGGTTTTGGGCTGAGGCTGTCAACACAGCCTGTCACATCTCAAATCATGTGTATCTAAGATTAGGATCTATGATGACTTCATATGAAATTCTTTATGGTAAGAAACCTAATCTAGAATACATGTATGTGTTTGGATGTGTCTGCTATGTTCTAAATGATAGAGAGCATCTAGCTAAATTTGATTCAAAAAGTGATTTGAGTTTGTTTATGGGATACTCTAATAACAGTCATGCTTATAGAGTGTATAATCTAAGAACTCGAACCATTATTGAATCTGTAAATGTGGTATTTGATGACTTTGCTGATCTCCGCAGTAAAACAGCTGAAGATGAAGTTGATGACTTAATTGCTGAAAGAGAAACAACCGAAGAAGACACTTCTGCCACAAATGATCCAGATACAGACAGTCCAGGGTCAAGAGAAGAAAGTGCTGAGCCAAGTGCTACCACATCTGACTCAGTACATCCTCCAGAGACTGAGTTACAGCCAACCTTTGATGTCTGCAGAAAGGAACCCTCAAGTAGAATTCAGAAAAATCACCCATCTACTCAAGTAGTGGGAGATATCTTTGATGGAATAAGGACCAGAAGAAAAGAGAGAGTAAATTACAGAGATATGGTAAGATTTGCA